TTACCTTTATTATAATGTAGCTCATTAAAAATAATTAGCCAGTTGGCATTTTAGCTAACAAGCTTTCAACCAACAATCTTGAGATTAGGCTGCCGAACTGCCGGAGCTGCCAAACAATCAGAGATCAAGCCACTCATAATTCCCTCCAACAAGTTGATTCAATCATACACACAAGATAGGCAATTCGAGACAAAACCCAGCATTAGCACCCATTGCCAGAGCCAATCTTTGAGTATGCTAACCAAATGCTAACAAAGCCCCGCACCCACATATTGATATTGGTAGAGGTATGTTCTACCCACCTACTTATAAGCCCAATTGCACAACAGCCCCAAGTGTCAAATTAGACAAACAGCAGACCCAATACAAACTTCGAAACTCTGAGACTCGGAAACCCGTAAACTCAACCCTCAAACTCAAACTCAACTTGAATCAAATCAAATCAAATGCTCGTTGCAAATTGCATTGCGCTCACTCGCTGTCGGGCTGCTAATTTTCTGCGAATCGCGTTCTTGTTGTATAAGAAAACCCCCCGAGAAGGATCGAAGATATATAGTGGTTCGGTTTGGCGTTGGATTTGCATGTGGGTGGTCAGCAAATTGCCAGAACGTGAGCACAATTTTTAAATTAACGGCCCAAAAGTGGTTAGAACGGCAGCAGCAACGGTTCAGAATGGAGTTAGGAATAGTTGCGAAACGGGTAGGAGACGAAGGGAAGTGAAGCCTCTGAGGCACATTCCTGCCACAAAACTGTTGCAATTAATTGCATAAAAGTTCTAAATTGTCAGCCAGCCCCCGCAACACCCGCATCTTGGGCAAACTTTACAACTGCAACTGCAAAGCGCCGCATTATCGACGAAGACGCATCGCACACTGGTTAGTAAGATAGTAATAAATATTTAGATGTTTTTTAATGAAGTAAGTTTAAAAATGTATACATTTTCAAGACTTGATATTCTCATGTGCAAAACTATATTTTGCTTATGAAGAAACAGTACTCTACGCTTTTAAACTATATACAAATTCTGTCTCTGTTTCTGTCGAAAAAAAGTAACTTTATTATGTTAAATTGTTAGAATATTTAAAAATGAACGATTTTATGGAGATTCCTTTTACCACTGTGCAGAGTCGAGGTTTTCGTCGTCATGGTCGTGCCTTTCAGTTCGAAACGTGATCGATAGACGGACTACCACTGGCAGTCCGTCGAGAACTGCAAATTGGTCTCTCGCCGTTTGCCGTTTGCTTTTGCTGTTGCCAAATGTTTGGCCTTAGTCAAATTATGTTCTTTGGGCCGTTTGATAATGAAACTGCAAATTGAAGTCGGATCCCCTGGCTTTGGGACTGGCTCTGAACTCAACTTTGTTGCCCCTCAAATTGTTTGCTCACACCGTCCCGGAGCCACGCTAATGATTACGTGTTATCGTGTTGTAATTTTACACAGGGCCCTAATGATGAGTCTCGGATCGAATCGGTTCGATTGTATAGGATCCAGGCATAGGGAGATCTTAGAGATCTGCTCTGCCTCCACATTCACATCCATCTCCATCTGCGAACGATCGGATCGAATCGATCTGGCTCCGGGTTAGACACTAACTGGGCTCATCATGGAGCGTTAACAAGCTCATTTTTCTAAACTTGACGTGCTGAGTCCACCAACCATCCAACTAGATACCCACTTAGGCAAAAGATCTTCGCAGATTATCGGACGCAGTCGACCGGGCCAATTTACTTGGCCACTTTCGGACGTTCCCAACGGTGGGATCATAAATTGTTTATAATGGCATTGGGCGCGTTATGTCCTGGCATTTGGTCAAAAACGGTATATGAAGGGTATGATATATAATAAACAAGTGAAGGATGTAAATATGGATAAATTTCATTATATTAGATAATAGTATATAAAACGAACTTGAAATGTTCTTAACTTAAACTTGAACTTAAGTATTTTCAGAGTACGACTAAAGGAAGCTATATAAATGTTTTATAATCATAAATAAATGTTTTTTCGTGATAGATTGCATACAAAACATTATCTAATTGGAAGTGCATACCGTATATGTTATAAATATATAATGATGCGTTTAATTTATTAATCAAACCAAATTCGAGGAAATCTTTTTAAAAAGGTTCAAAAAAGTATGCAACATTTTTATAGCGTTTTGAATTGGAAATTGTATGCATTCAGATTGGAATCAAATTTAACCATAATTATGGACAAAACGGTAACACAAACCAACACCCACGACAAATTTAAATGGGCTGACATAACCGGCATTGATTGCATATGGGCCACGATAGTAAACACAAATTCATTGAATGCCAGTCAAAGACAAAACGTTTTCCAGCTAAATCGAAGGGAGCGAGGAAACACAGAGGGGAGAGATCCACAAAGTTCTTTGGGGAGCATATTAAATTGAATTTTTATGTTCTCAGAGCCCGGGAAAATCATGTGCCAGACCATAAAAAGCCAAGGATCGCCTCGGTTCAGATCGGTTCGGTTTCCGTAGAGTGTGTGGGTTAATAAATAGCCCCAGAAGCATCGAGTAAAAGGGGCAAAAGCGGGTTAAGACGAGACCTCGATGGTGCGGTAAATTATGGTTATTTAAATAAACAGCACACGATTTGATTTGGCGGCCCAAAAGTGTTGCAAGCGCGCCTCCGAAATTGGATGAGCGACGCGTCGACGTCTGGAAATTATGTTGTAGTTGGGCCTGATCATGCGGCATTGCTCCTCCGATGATAATGATGATGATGATGCTCCGCTGTTCCGCTGGTCTGGATGGCAAGAGGGTTGTGCCATCAACTCTTGATTGAGTAACGCCCCGCAACTGGCGTCTAATTACGATTTGCAGGAGTTGGCGAACTTGCAGCCCCGAACCCGACCAGCATCATTAGCTGATGTGCGGTATTGACCCGGCCTAATCGGCGATAAGACTCGTGATAAGCAAACACGCATAAGGCTAAATGTGCCTGGACGCTGCACCGAAAAAATTTGAAATTCTCAAAAGTTTAAGCTTTGTTCGTTTGAGAATTTCCTTTAAAGGCTTCATCTACGAAGTTAAATATATATTTTAAATTGTGATGAGTAAGTTTTTTAAGAGAAATATTTTTTGTATTATACATATTTTTTACACTTAAAAGTAAATTACATATTTTACCTACAAATTGTTATTTATTAATTTTTTCCTGTGTGACCACTGGTGTGACCTTTTCCCGGCTGCTGAACTGTTCGGAATTAAAGTGAACTGACCATCTTGTCCAGCGATTCTCGTTGGCGTTGCGGTGTTTTGTTTATTTTGAGGCTATAATTTAAGCGGGTAATTGCACGCTGGCGGCCAGAATTTGTAACTAAACTGCAAATTAGCAGCCAATTCCCAGGCCGATTAATAACCATAATTATTGGCTCAAGCGCTGACGAGCGAACGTCTCGAGTCTCCAGTCTCGGTCCTCTTCGAATCCACAACTCTCGATCTCCTCGCGAGGATGAGGATGCGGATCTCGATCTCGGAGGCTGCTGCCCTGCGCGCAAATTGCACTTGGCCAAGGCCCGGTCTTCAAGCCGATTCACTTGGCCCTCAATTGCCAATTCGTGATACACCCAGGCGCATATGGAGTGCACTCTAAAAAATGTATTACCTTAAAATAAATAATTTATAATTATATTATCTATTTTTTATATTTCCAATCAAAACATAAAGGGTTAAATTGCTTAAAGGGTTGTTCTTAATAGAATTTTTTCTAGTAATTTAAAATCCCTTTTTCTTAAGTGCATCCACCGCCTGAATCCCGACCCTCGCCGCCCGGCAGCAATTTAAATAGTGAGCGCCTGGCTTAATTACATAAAACAGGCAACACGAGACGAGAGGCAGCCAAGTTCGGTCTCGGGATGGGGATTGGGATATATACCATATTCCATTGCCGACGGCCCAGTCGTCAAGTCTGGATCTTAGCTTTTGGTCCACCACAACGAACTGGACCTGGGCTTGGACCACTTGGGCCACTTTTGATGGACATGTGTCTAATGAACCGGCCTAATTAATGTGCATAGCCGACGCGAGTCTCTTTCTTTTGAGGCATGCAAATGGGCAGAAAAAAGGGAAACTAAGCGAATGGAGAGTGTTGAAAGCCTTGAGTGGTCAAATTCGGATGGGACAACAAATTACCGGTATTATACTAAAGCAGGCCGGACAAATTAATAAATGTCGATACCCAATTAAACTGTCCGAATATAATGCACGCTATAAATTTCTGCGAGAACCCAGAACGAATAGAGACATCCACTATCCAATTATCGATGCCAATGATTAACGGCGCGAGGTCAACTCAACGGCAAAGAAACGAAGAATAATGCCTTATCGAAAATAATTGCACAGTCATTGAGTAGAAGAACTGGAAAACAGGGATTAACCAGTGGGATTCTGTAATATGCGCCTAGGTCTCGACCAACAGATCGGAACTAAGAAGAACCATAAATCAAAAAGAATATCAAGTTGTAACGGCCATAAGTCATTACTTATCGACTATCGATTGTTACGATGTTCTTGGTATATTTAACAATTAGTACTTTTAAAAGTTTTATTTTTTATTTAATTTACAATTTTAAACAAATTAATGATTATAAATATTGCTTGTAACGTTATAATTTTCTTAATAAATGCAAAAAGAAAAGTGATTTAAATTTCGCACTCACATTTTGCAGTAAGTGGACAGTATATTTACAAATACCAAGATAGAAGATTTTAGAGGTAATTCAGTATTTCCAATATGGTAACACTTTAGCGGGAAAATAAGCCTCAAAGTAAGTGAATGCAATGTAAATATCTTTTTATTGAGTATACTGGGCAAATTCAAATTGCGAAGTTAAGTTAAAAAAAATTTGTCATAAAACTAACCAGACCACATTAATGAATAATGAATAACATTTATGCTTCTCTTATGTTAAAAACTCGATTTTTCTGACGATCTCAGGGGACACAACCGATTATTTAATCGAAAAAACCACTTTCTGTTAAACCAGCTGATCGGGGGAACGTGAGAAAGAAATTTGCCTATTTCATTAGTAGAAAATTTGTTAAGCGTTTTGAAAAAACTAGATTTTTAAATAAAAAAGATAACTAATATTGGTCAAGATGGTTATCATCGCTCTGCCCACGGAGGAGGAGCGATTGGAATTGCTGGTTTCTCGCATTAAGAAACTGGCAACTTACTACAAGATCGCCGATGACGTTTGTCCGGCTAAAATTGCGAATCTGACCGGAAATTTCACAGAGGACGAGTTATGTCGGCTAGTCCGTGATGCTGCCAGTGGAGCCGTTTACCGAGTCACCGTTGTTGGGTGTCCGGAGGGTCTGCAAGTAAGCCAGATCGATTTTATATTGGCTCTTCACGCCATTAAACCTAGATTCGGTGTGCAAGAGGAGGATCTTCGCCAAGTCATGTCATTTGGCTTTATGTTCTATGAGAAGCTGAATGAGTTTCTCTTGACGCCGAGGAAAGGCTTGGATTGCCAATTGATCGAAGGTGCCCCTAAGTCTGGGATAACCACTGTTGCTGCTCAATTGGCTCTTGAAAGTCGTTATCCCTTTGTTAAATTTATTTCTTCGGCGGATTTTCTCGGACTAAGCGATGACGAAAAGTGCCATAAGATCCGGAATATCCTTAAGGATGCGTATGTTTCCACGCGTAGCTGCGTAATTTTTGATGACTTGGAGCGCATTCTGGACTACGATGTTTTAGGGAAACGCTGCTCCAGACGGATATTACAAATGCTGACGAATGTCTTGAGGAAACAACCGCCCAGGGGTCACGATCTGCTCATCCTTTGCACTTCCAATCGCCGCCATGTTCTGCAGGATATGGGCCTGCTATCAGTTTTTACCTCGATACGACATGTGCCCAATCTATCCACATCTGACCACATTATGGCCGTAATGAAAGCTTCTAAGCGATTCGAACCCGATGAGCTGCGGCAAATTGAGGTGTCCATTAAAGGTCATCACATATCAATGGGCATTAAGCAGTTGCTAGACCTGATAACCTGGGTGAATCCTCTAAAGCCAGACCGCCGGCCTTTGAAATTCCTGGAGAAAATGGCCGAAGCAATGGGGTGGGGGTAGGGCCGCCTTTAATTCCGCTTTGAGTACCTCTTAAGTCTTAAGACCTTCAATATCACAAATGCAATATTGTATTCATTCGAAGTCGTTTGAAGGTCCAGATCAAATCTATTTCCATAATACCTCCGTACTTGCAGCTTTTCCAAACGCAAACTCTAGTTATTATTATATTATAATCATTATACATTTAAGACGCACTTGCATTTATTGTATCGGTCTTAAGATCAAAAAGAACAGCCTGCTAATGTGATCGGCATAACATTATATTTATTAAGAACGTTTTACTAACCATTTGGTTTTATTATACAATGGGAACAATAAAAATATATAATCTTTAAATTCGTCATGTTTTACAGTTATTTTATGTATCTTTTATCCCTAACCCTAATTCAGGTTTGAATGCAGATCTGTTAAGAATTAGAATACAGGCTCAATGCGGTATGACATTCCATGAATGGTGAAAATTTTAAGACAATTAACTATTGCGACTAAGGGCCTTAAGCTAGTTATAGAGGGTAACATCGTCCTTTTTTGATAAAAAGGAAAAAAAAAAATATTTTTTTTTAAAAAAAAAATAAAATAAAAAACCAAACAAGAAAAACAAAAAAAAAAAAAAAACATTTTTAAAAAAATATCTTTCATAATTTTAAATATATTTTCTAGATTTTATGCTATAAATTAGTCAAAACAAGACTTAGAGTCAAAAGAACAACGGTTTTGTGCTGTTAACAACCGAAACTAAATTTTAATTTTTCACCGATTTTATTCATTACTTATCATCATATATTTTTTTCAAAATGTTACAAATTCGAGATTTTAATAACTTTTGCCGTAATATCGAATTACAAGTTAACCCTAATTAAGATTTGAATGCAGATTTGTTAAGAATTAGAATACAGGCTCAACGCGGTATGACATTCCATGAATGGTGAACATTGTAAGACAATTAACTATTGCGACTACGGGCCTTAAGCTAGTTAAAGAGGGTAACATCTTCCTTTTTTTGCTAAAAATGGTCAAAAATTAAGATTTTTAAGTGTGAATGGAACTTTAATAACGAACCGAACAAGGTATACCAAAAATTAGGAAAGAGGAATATTTTTTTTTTGGTTTTATATTATGACTTAGTCCGAAGTAGGAACAAGAAAAGATAATAGAACGTCCGTTTCGTCCAACTAAGGAGAAAACCTAAACCTGAGTCTAGAAATCTACACTTTTCAACTCAATACAAAATTTACTTTTTGGGCCGAAATTTTTATTAATAAAAACTATTATTATTATTCGATTGGGAATCGAAATATAGTCCAACAAACTATGACATTTTCCCGGTCCGATCATTATTTTTGCTATTTTAATTTTAAGTTATATATTACTTAAAAAAAAGGATTAAAGTTCCATATTATTAAGGCACCTTATCTCTGTAAGGGAATCCAGTTGTTATACCTTTATCTGATATTTTACCAGTATTTTAAATTCATATTACCGCTTAACGGTGCCATAACAGCCAGCTCTTGTCCGTACCTACAGTGCATACACACACACCATCAATCAGCTGATGACTAGATTGAGCAGAGCTGAGTCAATTTCGAGATTGTTTTATCAAATTGAGCTGGAAAATATTAGTCATTACCACGATAATGTCAAACGAAATGGCCCATCGGATGAAGGCGATCAAATGCCCTACGGACGAACTATCGCTAACAAACAAGGCTATTGTGAATGGATCCGATTTCACGGAGGAGGTCAAGTGAGTGTTTTTATCTTTTTTTTTTGTTTTCCACCGACTACGTGGGCGTCTATGGAAAAATTGGACAATTCTCATTTACTTGCCAATTAATATATTTTAGATATGCGGACATCTCGCCGGGACCGGGTCTGCACTATATATTCGCGCTGGAGAAGACCAGCGGGGCGGAACTTCCACCCGGCCACGTCGGATTCTCACTTGTCCAGCGAAAGTGGGCCACACTCTCTATTAACCAGGAAATAGATGTACGACCCTATAGGTTCGATGCCAGTGCCGATATCATAACCCTCGTGTCCTTCGAGACGGACTTCCTGCAGAAGAAGACCACCACGCAGGAGCCTTACGACTCGGACGAAATGGCCAAGGAGTTCCTCATGCAATTTGCCGGAATGCCTCTGACCGTCGGACAAACCCTGGTTTTCCAGGTAAATACTTGCAATATCAATAATATTTAGAAACAGAACTAAGTAGGAGAATGGTTAGGTAGCCTTGGTAGCTTCATATTGCTTATTCTTGTTCTTTTTACTATGAAGATTAGATATTTCTTGGCGCCAACTTATGGCCATTTCACCAGTTTATTTAATATGGTAAAAACAAGATAGAAAGTGGGGGGTGTAGTTATGAGTAATTTTTTTTATTTTTTCAATTTCATAGTTTTGTGCTTAGATTCGCTCATTCATTTTTATACAAAGACCCCTTGTTGATTCGATGACTCAAACTTCTAGGGTGATTCCCTATGAAAATTACAAATGCATACATATATACATATTTGGTAATTTGGTAATTTTCAATAATTATAAACTTACCTTGAATGAACTCATATTTATAATGTGCACTTTGCTTTTGTTGAGTAAAGAATTAGCTTTCTGCCATTAACACCCATAGCTTTAAATAGAAAAGGTCCCGGCAAAGCTTTTAAAAATATAAGATTATATAGTTGTTTATCTTTTTTCTATAAGCTTTTACGTTAAAGCAGATGTTTTACTTATATATTGTTAACTTCCTTTCAGTTCAAAGACAAGAAGTTCCTGGGACTCGCAGTGAAAACCCTGGAAGCGGTGGATCCCCGAACAGTTGGAGATTCTCTGCCAAAAACCCGGAACGTGCGATTTGGTCGCATCCTTGGCAACACAGTCGTGCAGTTTGAAAAGGCAGAGAATTCCGTCCTAAATCTGCAGGGTCGCTCCAAGGGTAAGATTGTGCGCCAATCGATCATAAATCCGGATTGGGACTTTGGTAAGATGGGCATCGGTGGCTTAGACAAGGAGTTCAATGCTATATTCCGTCGCGCCTTTGCGTCTCGCGTTTTCCCGCCGGAATTGGTCGAACAGCTGGGCATTAAGCACGTGAAGGGTATCCTTTTGTACGGACCACCTGGCACGGGTAAAACTTTGATGGCCCGTCAAATAGGTACCATGCTGAATGCCCGCGAACCCAAGATTGTGAATGGTCCACAGATCCTGGATAAGTATGTGGGAGAATCAGAGGCTAATATCCGGCGACTATTTGCCGAAGCCGAGGAGGAGGAGAAGCGCTTGGGCCCTAACAGTGGACTGCACATCATCATCTTCGATGAGATCGATGCCATTTGCAAGGCTCGTGGATCGGTTGCTGGCAACAGTGGTGTCCACGACACGGTCGTTAATCAACTACTAGCCAAGATCGACGGTGTGGAGCAGTTAAACAATATTTTAGTGATAGGAATGACCAACAGGCGGGACATGATCGACGAGGCACTGCTGCGACCTGGCCGCTTGGAAGTTCAAATGGAGATCAGCTTGCCCAACGAGCAGGGACGCGTCCAGATCCTAAACATTCATACCAAACGAATGCGGGACTTCAACAAGATAGCCAATGATGTGGACAACATCGAGATCGCAGCTAGGACAAAGAACTTCAGTGGCGCCGAGTTGGAGGGATTGGTGAGAGCTGCTCAGTCCACGGCAATGAACCGACTAATCAAGGCAGATTCCAAGGTAGGCCTCGTACAGTTTTATAAATTATCGATTCACAAATACCGCTGGTTATAATAAGTTTGAAATCGGTTTAAATCATATTTCGCGAACGCGTCAAAAGGTTTTATTACTATTGCTCGAGTTAAAAGACGGGTTATTTACTAGCGTTTTTTATATATTTCAGTTTGTTTTCTTCGTTTACGGTTTCGGTTGTCGCGTTTAAATAAGTTCGGTTCCTATAAGGATATGGTAAAAAAGGTTGAAGTTTGGTTGGGCATTCAGCTCAAAATTATAACTGTCAAAAAAACAATTATGGATATATCTATATACCTTTATTCCTTATTTCTTATTTAAAAACATAGGTTCACGTGGATCCTGAGGCCATGGAAAAATTGAGAGTAACCCGCGCTGACTTCCTGCACGCCTTGGACAATGACATCAAGCCAGCTTTTGGTGCCGCACAGGAAATGCTGGAAAATCTATTGGCACGCGGAATAATTAATTGGGGTCCACCGGTTATCGGAATTCTGGAGGATGGAATGCTGTCCGTTCAACAGGCAAAGGCCACAGAGAGTTCCGGATTGGTGTCTGTTCTCATCGAGGGAGCTCCGAACTCTGGCAAGTCAGCGCTGGCCGCTAATCTGGCCAAGATGAGCGATTTCCCTTTCGTGAAGGTCTGTTCCCCAGAAGATATGGTTGGTTTTACGGAGTCCGCTAAGTGCCTGCACATCCGCAAGATCTTCGACGATGCCTATCGCTCCACGATGAGCTGTATTGTGGTGGACAATGTGGAGCGATTGCTAGACTATGGGCCAATCGGACCCAGGTACTCTAATCTCACGCTTCAGGCCCTATTGGTTCTGCTGAAAAAGCAGCCGCCCAAAGGCCGAAAACTGCTGATCCTGTGCACTTCCAGCCGGAGAGATGTTCTCGAGGAGATGGAAATGCTTCCGGCTTTTACATCCGTGCTGCATGTGTCCAATCTCTCAACTCCCGAGCACGTGCTCGCCGTGCTGGATGACTCGGATTTTTTCAGTCCCGAGGAGCTGCAGAATATTGCCAGGAATATGGCCGGCAAGCGGGTGTGCATTGGCATCAAAAAGCTACTGGCGCTCATCGACATGATCCGCCAATCGGAACCCCACCAGCGGGTTATAAAGTTCCTCAGCAAAATGGAGGAGGAGGGCGGACTGGACTTGGTGGCCAGATCGCACTAGCTAACGCCCATCGTCAACCTCAGGCTGTCCATTGTAGAGCTAAACGACGCCTTCTAATTATTTTACATTCCATTTCCAAACATCTAGGGTGGGTCGATTTGATTAATAAGGAATTTATGATCAGATTTCTATGTTTTGAATCGTTGATCTTTCGCCACTATATACCAAGTAAAAATATAACCTTCAGTATAATTACTTTAACACGAACCTTCTTGCTTCCAGGATCACATAACTACAAATGACTTGTATACTTGGCTTTACTAAGAATATCAAGCTCCAAAATGGTTTTGAGTCCAATCTGCCAGAATGCAGGTGGATCAAATTCTATACTTCCAAGGAGCTTTTAAATTGATTGGTTTCAAACGTGTTGTACTGAATCAGAATTTCACTAAAATATTGTATGAAACCAATAAATTTGATTGTCTTTTTCTGGAAGTGTCTAATTTTATAAACTTGAATTCTGCACAAAGGACCAACAACAATTTTTAAGAAACACAACAAATTTAAAAATGTCAAATCGACCCACCCTGCAGTGTACTTTCATAAATATGTTTTTTTCAGCTTTAAATTGCGATTAACATTAAGAGAAGGTTTTTAGCTGGAGAGCCGTCAAAAATATTGAGTATCCTAACACTGTTGAATGCAATCTTAACGCTTTTAATCATTAATTTTTTTCTTTTATGTTTTACTAAAAACACTAAAATACAAATAAAGCGCACAACTTACCCGTAACTGAAGACCAATTTGTAAGATATGAGCTGATAATTTTATAAGTTTTGAACTTTTTATGGAACCAACGAACTTGTAAACTTCGCACTAGCGACTAAGGATAAATCCAGAATTGCCACCATGAATTCTACAATATATACGCACAGATTTACATTGACAATTTTATACGAAAAATATGTATTTTATAGCGTTTTTTAAAGCATTTTGGAGTTTTCGTGCAAGAAAATCAATTTTAATCAGATAAAGTAGAATGAATAGCTCAATCTATGAAGAGACTTGATAGTTTCTAGAGAACCAAAGAAAACAAAATGTTTTTTGATACCGATCCAAAATAGAAGCAAATTAGAAAAGTTTAACACATTTTTTAAAACCATGTATTATGTCAATACATTTTCTTTACATCCCTAAGTGAGATCACCTTAGGTTTCAGAACTAGCTAGTAAGGGTTTGTGTCCAGACTGCAAACTGTGTTCTCCGATCGCAGCTTTTTCGAACACAATCCACCAAAAACCATAAAAATTGTATGTGAATGTATGGATTCTGTGTAATTTGAATATTATGGATAAATTTGTGTATTTCAATGATGTAGTAAAAAAAAAAAGAAATGATGTATTTAACCTAATAGTTACAAATAAATGGAGTTTTAAAAAAAGATTATAAGGTTTTTCCTTGCCTATATTAATGTATGTGTGTTATGTGATTATTTAAATTTTATAACTGTTTGCTTTCTCATTTTATTAGCAATATATGTGCCAATCAAATACTTAACTTATAGGTACTTCAATTTTGCACGACTTAAATTGAATTCTTTGAAAATTCCCATTCATTTGAATATTGTTTATGCTTGACGATTCGATCGCTGTCAGACAGAGACAGCTGTCCGCTTGGGAGGCGTCAAATGGTTATCACCGCCGGCCGCCGTTACCACATATATATATATATATATATTACCCCGATCTAACGATCCATCGATCAGCTGTTTTGCCGAGACGAGACTCGACGCCGGAACCCAATCTCGGAGCAGCAGCGGTGCTGAGGTGCTGACCACAACCAGTCGCTCTAATATGCAATTTGAATAAATGATTTATAATGAAAACACTTTAGCCGCGCGTCGTCTGCGTATACGTAATGTGGAGTGGAGCACTGCTTGGTAATTGATATATGGCGCTAATTGCGCTCGACGCCCATTTGTCCAGTGGTCCAGTTCCAGCTTTATCAGCGTCGTCTGAGGAATCCTGGGTAGCAGCCAATGGTAGTCAGTGGTAGCCACTAGTAACAACCAAAGCCATGGCCATGTCGCGACGGTGTCAGCTGCGAACCAGCGCCGCTTATTAACTAATTAAAGCTGCATATTTCTTGAGATCTGAAAATTGATTTGCATTGCCAATTGCCCCTGGAATTGCATAGCCGCCAATCACGGTCGGTTAGGGAAATTCTGGAGATCAAAACACTTGACGTGTTCAAACAATTTTTCATAATATTCATAAACTATAACGATAATATTATTAACAAGATTTATGTGTTACAGTACTATTTATATTTTAATGGATGTATTTTTGAAAATAACAGGGTCACTTATAATAATTATAATTTATAAAACCTATAATCCTTAAACATATAGATCAAAACCTTTTTGCAACATATTTTTAAAGATATTTACATTAAACTTATTATTATTATTTAAAAGTTTATTTAGCTACAATATAGTAGAAACTCTCCAGTTTCTTATTCAGTGGTGACATTCATTAAAACGAATTTGAAAACTCATGTGGATTATGACCGAGTTAAGATCCTGTCCGCAATTAGCCTCATATGCGTCCGAAACGGGAGGAAAAGCCGACTCATTGTCGCCCACCCACCCGGCAATTGGTGGGTAATTATAATTATCGGGTTAGGGCCCGGCCAACAACGCGTCATCGCCGGTCGCTCACGTATGCAAAACTTTTCATGACGAAAGTCCAGTCGGACAAAGTTCACTGACCGGGCCAAAAAACGACGATGCGGTGCCTGCGAGGAGCCAAAATTAAAACCGAAACGGATTTTCATTCACCGACTGTAAAAATAAATGCGAAACTTTTACAAATTCGTATTTTTGTTATTATTAATTGAAGTTAACAGCGACGCCCGCTTGTCCACTTGCCCAAAGCTGAATCTCCGGTGCACAGTGTATTATAATTAATTATTTTTATATGCCTGATCTGGTTTAGGCAAAAACAAGGAGATTTTTAAACGAAAGTAATGATGAATATTTATTTAGTACTAAAGAAGATCAACAAATAAATTATTTTGGTTCTTAACCCAAATGGTTTTCAAATATTATCTTTGCTTAATATTATTCTTACTTTTTAATGAAGTTTAACTATTTTATTTTTTAGTTCTTGAAATGTTCAACTTAAAATCCAATTTATGACAAAAGTGCAAAACTTCTTTATATTTATTACTAGCTAGACCTACTTAACTTTAGACTTTTGGATAACATTATTTATTTCCTTATATTGACTACTATTGCCTACTTCTTAATTATAGTAACTATGTAATGTATTTCTAAATTTATTTTATTTATAGAAAATATTTCCAACGTTGCAATACTTCAGTTTTGAATATAAAATCGAATGAAATTTGAAACACTGTGCAGCGCAGTCGCGCCCCTCGTAAACTTTGAAACCGGCCGGGCTGCGTTGTTTTTGTTGCCGTTCAAAAGCGCAAACGCCGGCAGCGAAGGTTCGATTTCACTTTCGCACGCTGTCCCCTCCCCCTTTCGCCCACCCACCCTGCACCCCTCCGACCCCTTCTGCCAAGGAGCGGGCGCATCTGGGGTGTCATGTTTTGAGCTCTTTACGAGCGGTCGCCGCTCTCACCTGCTTTCTTTCAAACGGAGCTTGTGCTTTCGCTCTCGCGTCGTCGATCTTCGATCTCGGATCTTGGATCTTGGGTCTGGGATCCGTTGGGTCGCTCGTTCCAAGAGAAATTATTGTGATTTTCCAGCAGATTCGATCAGTCGATTCTTTTGGATCGACCAGGTGATCCACAATCATTTCGGCGCCACATGCAAATCTCACGGGAAACTTACAGCTTTACAGACGTGCAGTGAGAAAAGCAGGGATAGTAATAATTATAACTTTTATGTATTAAAATCATAACAAACTATTAAATATTATTATTATACAAAATCACAAATGCAGTAGTAGAAATAATATAATAATGAGATTTTTACTATTTCATAGAGTTTCTAAATCTGAATATCCTGCATAGATCAACATTTAAAGATTAAGTTTTAGTTTTATTTGTAAACAAAACTATTTCCCTATTTCCTCCCAGTGTACATGAGAGTGATCAATGTACTAAACTTATAAACATATATTTTTATATATATATATATATATATATATATCTGTGGCAGCAGTCCGGGGAAAATGTAAAGCGAATACAAAAGCAAACATCATGCAAAATCTTCCTGCATTACACAAACGCGGAAGATTTTCCCCGTACTCGCACATTTCATGGATTTTCCAGAGCTCAACCTGCATTTTCATGGCATTTCCATTGATGTTTTTCAGCTCTTTTCTGTGAGTGTGTGTGTGTGGTAGCATGCGAAACTAGCAGTTAAATTAGCAGTTTTTGCCGCTGCCTAAGCTACAATTTTACACTGCGACTCTTTTGGGTTTTTTCTTGGCTTTGGTTTCGGTTTCGCTTTTCGGTTTCTTCGCCTTTTATTTATTTATTTTTTTTTTCGTTTTTTTTTTTTTATTTTCCTCTTTGCAATTTATAATTGAGTTGCAATTTGGCAGGCAACTATTCGTGGAATGCGAAGGGGCGCGGGGGTGGCGTTTTCGCGGAACTTGCATGCGTATTAGTCATCAACCGACTGGGGAAAAAACATGAAAAATATTTGGCAACAAAATGAAAGATTAACCCTACAAGCTGACCTCAACTAGTCGCCTCAAGGATGTTTTTAGCTTAGGTAGCTTAATTGGTTAAAGGACTTGCGGATTTAAATTAGTTATTATTTATATTACAAATAAATTAAACTTGCTAAAAAATAAATTTTTAATTAATACGAAGTGTTTTTTAAATTGAATGTAATATTATTAAAAAAGAGCATTTTCTTTAAGTTTAAGGATAGGTGTATTATAATGTTATTAAAAGAGAAAGAGACACCTCTAATAGCAAGATAAACCCCGTCAGCAGTCACGGGTTAAACAGAAGTATGTATTAATATACCATTTAAAGCCTATAAACCGAAGATATGTACAACCCCTTAATATTACACATAAACAGGCAAGCTGAAAACAAAAAACAACGACGTGGCACGATCAAAAGGAGGCACAAATCAAAACCCAGAATCAGAATCAAGAGCAAAAAGCTCTAAACTCAAAACTCGAATCTCGAAATCTGTGAAAATGTTGCCGCACGCGATCGAGACATTCGCATTCGGATTCGCATTTCATTTTTATTTCATTTCGATTCATTGATACCGGGGCAAGAAAAACAAGAATGAGAAAAAAGAACGGCCCAGTTCCAAATTAAATAATACGAGAGATCTCGTGGCTCCCTTGCTCCTTATTATTATTATATTGTATTCCACCCTTTTTTTGCGTTCTGCGTTTTTTGTGTATGTGTGCCATTTTCTTAGGAATTCCCGGCAGCCTCATCCGCATCCCATGTCGCACGATCAATCAGAGTCTCAGACTTCCACTCCTCTGATTTCGATCTGAGTTTTGGATGGGTATCGGCCGTCGTTGCGTTCACTTTCCATTTTCAGGACAGCTGAATCCTTTTTTAAGGGGGCGGCACGTGCCTAGAACTCCTGATTTCTTCACTTTCCTCGGATACTCAGGTTACCTCTGATCGATTTTTACCCCTCTCACCCTTTTAGTCCTTAAATCTGCACGCCCACAAGTCCTTAGAACGCACTTTAACGAATTTAATGAATTAATAGAACCATTGCAATGGTCGTTCTAAGGTTCTAATGGTCCTCATTCTAAAACTTAAGATAGTTTTGATCTTAAGGCAGACATACCATTAAATCTAAGATCTTCTTGATCTGCTTTTCACTTTTCTTTTCCCAGGAATCGATCAGCTGCCAGTTTTAGGGGGCGGCACGTGCTTTCTTCACTTTCGTCGGCTACTCGGGTTACCCAAATTCACCTTTTACCCTTTCAGCCGCTCCTCTAAGTGCCACGCCCTTAAGTCATTAGGGCGCACACTTACGGCAGGCGGATATTGATTTCCTTGGGTTGACTGCCATTGAACGCTTTTCAGCAGATGATGACATCTGTGAGCGCCCATTGTGTTTCACTTTTCATCAAACTTATATTAATAAGTTATGTGACGGGGCCATAATTAAAGCGAATTCGATATTTCCGGCCGAAAGGAAAGACATTTGGTTCACTGAACCCAATAAAAATCCTTGAACTCTCATCGCCAGACGCAATACAAATATTTCTATACATATGTATTGCCAATAATCTATTTCAAACAAAGACCACCACAAATATGAAAAAAAAAAATGAACTAACTTAGAGCAGCGTCTGCTGCCCTTTTGGCGGCACCCTCACAAAATTATTGACCAGAGTTCCATCCATCTCGAGCTAACAAAAAAATAGCAGAAAGCCACACCGAGAAAAACTAAATCAAATTGGTAATCAATCTGGAGTTTTATGCTATTTCTGATATTTTTACAGTATAGGTCTATTTTAAATTAGGCATAAAAATTGGTAGAAATGTATTAAAGTAAGAGTTGGAAATCTTTTATAAATGATAATTGATAATTTCATATAAAATTAGGATTTAAGTTTATTAGTTTTTTATGTTTTCTATGGAAATAAAAAAGATCCGTTTTTTTCCGTGCTGAAAAAGCGCAGAAGAGTCCAACATTGAGTTGGACTTGTCCGTCTCCTCGGATGCGAGATGCTACCCAAATATTTCAGCTAGAAGGAAGAGGACTTCTGTGTGGTTTTTTGCCTCTGCCTCTGCCTCTAACTCTGCTGACCGACCCTTCGCATACACACAACATAACATATTTCATTCTAATCAACATGCTGCAAAACATATAATTCGAAATTTTTGATATTTCAACCGACCATTTTGCCGAGAAAATTGCATTTAAACGCCTATTATGCGCTTTTTATTTGCAACCCATACTTTTCTGCCCGAATGCTCCGGCTGAGTCAGTCATGCACAAATACAAATCATTGTATAAGCATATATATACGTTATAAGTGTATATATCTTTGGGTATATAGCTTGGCCAAGGTACACTTTGAAGTGTGGTTCGATTTGGAGACTGGACAGTGTTTCTGTCATCTAGTTAGCTTCCTGCTTTTTCGGGGGTTAATTAACCGAAATCGTAAAATCGTTAGCAAATGAAATAAATTGCGCTCAATTACACGAGTGACATCCAAGGCGCAATCGCTTCGTTGCTGGTGATTGACCTCTTTCAATGCGACATTCTTGGTTCGAAAAGTCGGCTGGAAAACAAAACACGGCTCCTCGGTCAGATAATGAACTTTATATACACTTGCATATATGTATATATATATACCCGTTCAGCCCCGATATCGGCAATCGGCTATGCGCCATGCACTTAATCAAAAAGTACGACAAAATCAAGAGTAAACAAAACTGCAGCGCAGAACTCGACTTGAGAACCGGCAGCAGCGATTCGAACTTCACCCGGGTGCAATGAACACATGATCCGGCCACAAAACAAAAATTTAAATCTCATTTACTTATTTTATGTGTTACAATGCACTGGGAAAATAGTTGTCGTTCACTGTAAAATCGGTAACTGCAAGGTGAAACAAAGACACTTTTTGGGAAGCGTAAAAATCACATCAATAGGCAGCTGAAATATGTTTAGACTACGGGAAAAGGGATATTTTAACTATACTTATTTAGACTTAGTGTATCACATAAAGTTGTAACTTGTAAAATACAACTTTTACAATCTTAAAAGCTCTTTCAAAGCAACCTTTGCTTTCCCTGCCTGACCTTTCAAACCCATATACCTCTGTCTAACCGATTTTGTATCATTCTTATTTGTCCTTTCGGCCTGAACACATCTAAATTTTCTGTGTAGTCTCAAGTTATTTCTTTTTGTTCGGTTCAATGTGAGTGAAACTAGTTGAAAAATGTTAAAAAATATTAAATATTTTCGTTTTTCCTTAAGAATCCCTACGAATTAATCATGTGTTGCGGACCCTGTGGACCTTGCTGTGGACCCTGCTGTGGGCCATGCGGACCGTGCTGTGGACCCTGCGGCGGAGGATGTGGTCCCTGCTTTGGACCCAATGTATGCGGACCATGCTACGCCTGTGGACCATGTGGCGGCTGCTACTGTGGATATCCTTGCTGCTAGGCCAGATGGTTCGGGATCCCATAGAACGGTTGACGGAAATGCACGAATTAAGTCAAAAACCTCTTGGATCATCTTAGGAACTGTCTGGCTATTAGGACCATTTAGTCATCTAATATTCGTGAACCACAAATAAAAATAATTTGAGACAACATAACATTTCTATATCCCCAGGCATAACTCTCTTGTAACCCCTTTAGGGGTGATTGTTAATCACGGTTTTATTTAGGTTTATTAAAGAAGTAAAAAAAAATTGTATCAAAATTAAATCTAATAGGAAGGATTTTCTACCTTTTATTCTTGTTTAGAACATCCTGCGTTTCTTTTTTTTTCGTAAGCCGAAAAAATTATCGATAGTTAAAAAGTTCCAGAACAGGGACCACATCCTCCGCCGCAGGGTCCACGGCACGGTCCGCATGGCCCCTCCGCAGTCTATACCTGAATATGGCCTTCTAGATCTAAGATTGTTTAAGAAAAATATTTATTTTGTTTAAAATAGTTTTTCAATTTGATTTGTATACAAGAGCTATTGATATTTACTTGTACAATAATTGTGTAAGAAATCGAAGTTCTATTAATTGATTTCATCGTCTTCGAGTTACAGGGACTTCAGCGACGGGTCCTTGTATTTAATGATATTTAATTATAATTATTTTATATGGAAGTGTCGTTTGTGTACTTCTTAAGATGAAGTGTCACTCTCGGTGAAGTTTGTTCCGAACAGAGTGTTGCAGACTTTCACGGCAACATTGCGACGGGCAATCTTCTTGTTCTTCCCGTAAGCGGTGAACTCTTGGTTATCCACCGTGATTCCAAGATTTTGCAGCACATTTGGCTTTTCCCCAGAGGCTCCTTGATCCACATAAATGAGACCAGGACGCATAAGGGAAAGTATAGAGGCCGGGTGCATGGATTCCCAGCCGGAAGGTAACTCGGTGCGCCCCAGCGGTTTCTTCGGCGGTGCGGCTTCCCCTTCGGCTTTAGCAGCAGCATTGGCCAACGAACCCATCTCAGGAACGTCAAAGCCTTGGCGCTGCCACTCGCCAAACAATTTGTAAATGGCAAAAGAAGCTAGATTTAGCATAGGCAGATCATCGTTCTCATTGGTTTCCATGGGCTCCTCGCCTCCTACGACATTACTAGGCTGGAGCTTCGCAATGATGAAGTCGCGCCAAGCCTTTTCACAGGCATCATTTTTAGCTGTCATCTTTGACAGACCCTTACCCTCATATTGCTTAGAGTTCACCGTGACTATTGCCGTAAATCCTCCATCGGGATTTTTGTCGATAGTGAAATCGCCGATTGTCACGCCCTTTATCTCGTTGAGGGCCTTCAAGGCGTTCTTCGGCAGCAAGGACTTTCGCAATTGACGGTTGCGACGCAGCTTCTTGTCCCGATTACGTTCGGAGGGCTTCTTGCGTTTCTGAAAGATCAGCTTGAAGGGGATCTTGCGCCCGTTTCCTTTCTTTACGTTGATGTCCATGGAGAGATCCTGGTTTGATCCCTCTTCCTCGCCAACTTCATTCATTGGCTCCTCCTTGAGTATAAATGGCATGGGCACCGGCACGGATATGGCGCCCGCCACTGGAACTGGGTCAGTGGACTGCGATGGCTCTTGAATCATAGGCTTGTCCATGGCATTGGGATTGTAAACCCCACCGGAGACGAATGATTTTTTGTTAGCGGAGGTAGGACGTTGAGCTTGCTTGATTTTCATTTCGCTTCCGAAGTTTTTCGCTTACAACAACTTGGAAAAATGAAAAAATTAAATAAAAACTTTTTTATTTTCTAACCACTTCACTCACAAGTTGGAAAAATTAAAGAGGAACTTTTTATTTTTCGATGTTTTCACTTTCACGCTCGAACAATGAATGAATAAATTGAAAACTCTTACTTTATGATGATAATTATTTCGATTACAAAATCGTAGGTAAAGCGATTGAAGGTAAAGTTTGACAAATGACTAATATTTTGAAAACCTTAGGTAAAGCGATTGCAAAACTGATTAGTTCTGCGTTCTTCGAAAATAGTATTGTAAAATATTATTACTCTTCCTTACACCGATTGATAATTTATGATCTCCCATTTAGTTGATCAATTGCCATTCTTGGGCACTTTGCATACCCAAAAATAATCAAGTTGATATGAATTTAGAACCGAAATACAGATGTCTAAAGCGACCCGAATAAGAATCGATCGCAGTCTTCTAATGCGATGTGGTTGACCTTGACGTTTCGCTGAGAGTTTATTGTCCTTTCAATAGAACACGCTAAATAAAGCTCATTTAACCAGTACATACATATTTAATACTCGCACACAGCCGTGCATATTTTTATACAATTTTATTTTGTATATTTACTGCACTAATTCGGCGACGAACTAGTTTCGACACAGCGGATTCCGATTCCGATTCCTGAATTCCGAGCAATATTAAGCAACGGCGAAGCGAACAAAAAAAAGTCAACAAAGTGCATATAAAAAATGTATTTAAATTTTACCCGACTGCCGGCCACAGTTGTTGATGATCCCCCCTGAGATCCCCCCAACCTACATTCTGGCCAACTCCAGCCAATCCGAAACCATCATCAGCTGACTGGATCTACGCGCGCGCCTTTTTAATTGCATCGTTTTTATTTGTGCGACTTTATGCAAATTAAACAAGTTCCCTGCCAAAATATTGCTGGTCGCGTTGATTTGCTGCCGCTGTATTTGCTTTTAATTATTTATTTGTGTGGGATCTCGTAGTCGATCGCCCCAGTGTAAGTAGTAGTTTGGCCAGTCGACGAGGCTTTTTGTTTTGACTGGCCACTGGCCACTGGCCATACTGAAATTAAAACAAAAGAAACTAAATTTAGTATTAAAATCCAAACTTAAACCAAACATGTTTCATGATTTTTTGGGCGTTTGCCGCTCGCGGGGAATTTTTCTATGTATGCTGCTGGCTGGCTGTTATTATTGATTAGCTAAATTGCTGATAATTAGTTTGACTTTGAACTTGATTTAGAGCTTGTTTGAAGCCGAGCCAGCTAATGTGTCAATAGTGGGCAGTTTTTGGGGTTCATCGGTTGGCGTTTGGAAACTTAACTTAGTCAATCACATAAGCCTTTGGTTCTTTTAATTCAATTTCATCAAATCAAAGTAGTGTCGATTTTCCTAACAATTTTCTCTTTGAAAATATTTTAAATAATAGTTTTTGGTGTCATGTTTCGAGAAGGATTTCCTTTTGTTATGCCATGTTTTTGATACATTTATATACTACGGCCACCATTTGAATTCATCTCATGCAATCACCCCAATCTCCTGGTCTCGTTATCCAATTTCCAGCCCCTTTTTCCAGCGGGTAACTGGCACTGAGTTTCCCCATTCATGCCCTAATTGCAGCCCAGTGGATCGGCAGTGGAGAGCATTTCATGATCATGACTAAGGTCAGATTCATAAAAACCGCATAAACTAGACCCAATTTAGTTGACAAACACATACGAAAAAAAAAAAAGACGCTGCGCGAAGAAATTAAAAGCGAAATGGAATTGTTTGTGCAAAAGCCGCCAAATCGAAGGTGAGGGGATGCCAGGTGCCGAGGGTGCCGCATTTGCATAGACATTTGCACGTCGAGGTTTGTGGTTTTGGGTGTCCAGAGGCGTATCGGGTGGATGATGGAGTGGAGGCCCCCTGCACAGTGGAAAATATTAACAAATTTTCACACTGAACTTCGCACTAAAATTTAAGATATGTTATTAAAATCGCAACAGTAATCTGTAAGGATAATAAATATAATTTTGTATTTTCCACAGCTTACATTTCACAAGTTTATAGATTTTCTCTGCCTGTATTAGATAGCCAGTGAATCGCTTCCATTTTCAAGGGTTCGCCTTGTCTGGCGTCTCGGATTAGCCGCTTCCACATTGAACTTGAGCTATCTCTAATCCGGCCGAGCCGCTGGTGGTGGTGCATAATCCAAGACAATCCAATCAGGTTCTGGGGGATTGTTGTTGCCGGATCTGGTGCAGTTGCGCATAAATCATGCGCGTCCGATGATATCACGTGTTATAATTAGACCGATGCATTTTCACTTTCCACACAGGCCAAACAAATCAAATGTCCGCATCCGCATCTGAAATAGCTCAGGGTGACAGCTGAAAATCGTGATATTTGATGTTTGTATCGGTATCGATATCTGTGATTTCTGATTTGATTTTACCAGGAACGGAACCCCATTGAGCCATCAATGGAGCGGATTGCCCGTAAAGTCTCGTTCATTATGACCTCCTGTTCTTGTTGTTGTTTTTTTTCATAGGTAATATTGGATCTTGGATAGTTGGTTACTTGGCTACAATGTAATCGGGGCTGGCGGGCTCTTTAAAATATTCAGCTGGCCAATAATACTGAACACCCCATCTAGCTAGTCAGATGGAATCCACTTGGCACTCCACCAGGGCAGCAGGTTGGCCATGAGAACATGTTATTAAATTACTGTAATAATGTATTAGGTATGTAAGAATGCTACAAATGTTAATATGTAATAATAATTGTAATGGCCAGCCAGCTCAACACATATAGTATGCCAATATGCCAGAGAAACCGATCTACTCGACTTTGGCCAACAGTCAACAGTCAATACTCGACACTCTATTATTCCTCTACGCACTGTGTAACCAGCGCCCATTTGACATTTCCATTTTCAGTTCCATGAAAGTGCTAATAATGCACTTCTGTCTGTGTATTGCCAGGGGGTCGATTTCGATATATAACTTTGATATATATATATATATATATATATGACAATTTATGATGCCTTCATTTGCGTCATTTGAAACGCGACTGGGTTGGGTTTTGATTTTTTTGTTTCAAACTCCCATAAGCTGATTTTTGGCGTTTATAAATTCATATTTGGTGGGCAGAGCTTTTGGAAAGTGTGCCGAAACTTTAAGTTATCAAATTAAAGTGCTTATCAGATTTTGTTTTTAGTTCTAAAGTTTTATTTTCTTATGCTTTTATATGCAAGGTAATTAGTTAGTGCTTACATAGTAAATAGTTCTTTAATTTGAATTCCAACCAAAAGCAAACTTGCAAGTCATAAATATAAAACTAACAAACTAATAAAAAGCCATATTTATTTTGAAAGTCGTGCTAATATGCTTATATTTATAAACATTTTAAGACATTCTTTCATTTTCTTTAGTTAACTATAAAAAATCAATAAATAAAACATAATAATCTTATTATTATCGAAAGATATCAAATTATTAGCAAAAACCTTTACTAAAATCTTAAAATAGATTTCAATAACGATTTCCTAGAACAATGACGTTTCTTCTCAAATTGTCTCTTTACGTACCCCCGCCTAAAAATAGAGTTCTTTTAAGTAGTCACTGTTTTAATCTACGGATCTTAATGCTGTTGCGTACATAAGTCCCTTAATTATATGCAAATGGTCGAGTGGCTTTCGTCAAGACAACTTAATATAACAAAATATGTTAATTAATTTTTTCCCCTTTATTATTCCTTATTTTTTTATATTTATTCTTTTTTTTGGCAAACGTTCCCGGGTGCTCATTTGATTTCTTCTTCTTTCGGGCTGATGATTCGGGTGTTATGCAATCTGTACGATAATTTCAACATTTCTACAATAATAAAAGTCGCAGAGTTAAGGATATGCATATCCAGTTTTAATCGCACTGTTATCTGGATTTGCCAATTTCATGGGCTTATTTATGTGATTTGTTTTTAGCTTTTTGGCTTGCCTGCTGCTGCCAGCGAGTTGGACCTGTAAATAACTCGAATTATTGTCTCCCTCTCTCTCTCGGGGTTTGCTAATTATTAATTATTATCGCCTATTTATAAATTGCCACAAATGATGTTGAACAATTGCGTGTGTCTTGGAGTCGGTGCATTAATATTTTAATTTATGACAGCAAATGTCAGCCGATCGTATTTTGATATCTGCATTAGCAGGTTCTTTTTCGTTGCATTGTTTGTTTTTTCGAATATTTACACAATTGCAAATAGCAAATAATCAGCGACTGCGTCTACGTCTGCGTCTGGGCCCGGTCACCAGCCGATCATTAAACATTTATAAACAAATTATGTCAATTTGTATGTAAACACGAAATCGAATCAAATCCCACCGAGTGGCTGGCCATCGAATGCAGACGTTTTGAGAGTCGCCTTTCGGCTGGCCAACTCTCACACAAATTGCAAATATTGGATTGCAGTTGGCGATTCGGTTTTCAGATCGCAGACAGAAAAAATAATATAGTATAAGGTATTAAGGTATAATATTTGAAAAATAATAACTCTCCATTGAGAAAAAAGAGAACTAAAAGAAAAGAAAGAAAGAAAGATAGATTAATAAACAATCTAACTTTGAGGCATTATAAAACGTAAATAAAGAATAAAATAAATCCAAATTTAATCGCAAACTATGATAGTAATAAGTATATGTTTTATTCTTACTAAAGTTTGCCAAGCAAAGCAAAGATAATCAATAAATGATAAACAAAAATCAAAAAGTTATAAAAACAAATATACGGCTTATTATCTATTACATGATTTAATTACCTTTAACAGATATTTTCAGAATAAATCTATAACTATATTAATTCCCGATCAAACTAAATTCAAACTTTCCATCCCTTATTTTCTCTCAGTGCCACTTATCGCTCTCAGCTTAAAGTTTCAGCGTCGTGTCGCGTCACCGTCAACATTTAGTTTGGCTTTGCATTTTGTTACTTGAGCTAAATTACAGCGCCTGAAATACGGAAGTTGTTATTGCTGTTGTTGTTGTTGCTGTTGCTATTACGGCATTGATTGCAACCTGCACTTAGCGACAGAGCGAGATAGTTAGATAGAGAG